TTGATGATTGTGGAGGTGCCTGCCGTGCTGAATCCTATGCGGCTTGGTTTTGGTTCGTTCTCAAAGAATCTCCCTGGGGCTTCGGCCCAGCGCGCCGGCCACCCGGAAAAGTTCACACATTTCGTCTCCCGTTGCCCTGATCGCTTCTAAAACTGACAAGGTGTCCAAGATGGCCTTCAAGACGGCCAAGATGGCCTCCAAGTTCGCCCAAGATGGTCCACGATGGCGTCCGTCCGAGCTGCCTCCGAAACCGACCAAGAGGCCACCAAGACGGCCCAAGATGTCCCCAAGATGGCCCAAGAGGGCCCAAAAGGCCACCAAGGGGTTTCCAAGACGGCCAAAACGGCCTCAGATAGGGCCTCCAGGAAGACCCGAAGATGCCAAAATCATTGATGCCCATTAGGTGCGTGGAAAAAATTGCATTGGGTAATATTCGGCCTTCCGACGGGCGGAGACAGCCCAAGAGCCCCCGAATATCGCCCCAAGATCGCCCAAGAGGCCTCCAAGATGGCCCCAGAACGGCCCAAGAGGCCCCCAAGACGGCCCCAAGAGGGCCCCAAGACAACCCAAGGAGCCTCCAAGACGCCTAAGATGTCCTCCAAGACGGCCCTGCAGCACCCCAAATTGGCCGCAAGTCGGCCCAGAGAGGCCCCCAGGACGGCTTCCGTCGGCGTCAAGCGGGCCAGGAATGCCCTAAGACGGCCACAGAGACCCCAAAGAAGCCCCCAAAGGCTCCCACGAGGCCCAAGGAGGCACCCAAAATAACTCCCAGAGGCTCCCAGGAAGCTCCCAGGAGGCCCTTAGAGTGCCCCAAGAGGCTCCCAAGATCCCCTCTGCTCCTCTCCTCCTTCTGCTCCTCCTTCTGGTTTTCCCCGCCATCCTCCCCCCACATGTTCAACGAAGGATTTCCACAAAGGCTGGGGAACACATGGTCCGATAGCTTGACAGAACTCTTGCCACAACGCTCGGCCACATGGGCAACTCCAGAAGGCGGGGGGCGGCGGTGATTCGCCGTAGGCGCCTTCGATACACATGCACAAATATGTATAGATGCCTGCATGTGTAATCTATGTGTATATATGTGTGTATGTGCGTGTACTTCCGACATGTTGGAAAAAGGGCCACCGCAGACAAAGAGCCGCCGCGGATGCAACTGTTTGGGAATGCGTTCCTGCACAGCCGGGACCAGCGTCACCGCTGGCCCCTGGGGCGGCGGGACATGCCCTCCCCCCCCCTCTCGGCCACCACGAAGCTGCACGAACCCCCCCCGCGCCGACGTGCGTCCCCCCCCCCCGATGCCATTCTGGACGCTCCAACGACCCGCGACACCCTCCAGACCCCGGGAGAGGGAGTAGCGTGAGGAGTGGGTGGGCACCTGCAAGAGGAAACGCTCTAAACCACCCACGCCCTGCAGGCCTCCCCATGAGGCTGCACGGGCCCCCCCACGCCGACGTTCGCCCCCCCCCCTCCCCCTCCCCTGTCCGAGAGGAGAAGGCAAACGAGACGACGTTGACCTGCAACGAATCACATGCGCGCCTTCAAATGGACTCGCGCGGGCGGAACGCCCTGACTCCCACCGCAGCCTGCAGAGGCCCCCGAAGAACGGTTCGGGAGCCCTGGGGCCGAGGGTAGAACATGAAATTCTCAGACACGATCTACCCGCATGCGCATACCATCTCAGTTTCTGGCACTTCCCACCGTGTGTCTGGGTGGGACAGTCTTCGCCTGTGGCGACTGAGCGCTCCCTGGCGGTTCCCACTTGGAGTGCCCAAGTGTCATGCCTGCTACATCGGGACGAGACTGGGACTCTGAGGGGAGAGACTCGGGGGTGCTCAATCCCACGTTGCGCGTGAGACGGCTTCACCATGTGGCCGCGAATGGACAAGTGCAATAACACCCTGGCGACTCCTCGTCATGGCGCCTACGTTCTATGCCTCCAATGTCGCGAATATCGGGGTCGGAGGTGCGTGACGAACGACTAGCTCGAAAGAGCCCCACGATCTGGGCGCGAACGGGCAAGCTCCCCCCTCCTTAGCCTCCTCGGGGTGCTCAGAGCTACGACGGCCTTGTCGTGGTGGCCATGCAGCTCACAAGAAAAAGTCGGAGGTGCAAAACGAGCGCCTCGCTCGAGACATGCCCGCAAGCTGGTCGTGAACGGGCCCATGCCCCCCTCGCTGGCGGCTCCGCCTTCGGGTGCGCAAATGCCACGTCTGCAAAACCTCGCGGTGCTCACGCGGCGCAGTCCAAACGCGCGCCTCGCAGGAGACATCGCTGCAATCTGGCCGCGAACGGGCCAGGTGCTCCCCTCTTCATGGCAGTTCCCGCTTGGGGTGCCCACGTGCCACGCCTGCTACGCCTGCTGCTCCGTGCTAGTCCCCCAATGGTGCCGGCTGTGTGCTTGGTCTGTGCTGCCCTCTGCTGTCTCTGGTGCTCTCTGCTGGGCTCTTGTCTCTGCTCGGCTGCTCTGCTGCTCCGTGTTGTTTCTCGCGATGCATGCAGGCCTCCGTTCCCTGGGCGCGAATCATGGGGGGCGATACACTGCGGGGGGAGAAAAATGCCCGTTTCGGGCCCTCAAGGCCCTCTTCTGGACCTTAAGGGGCCCCTTTTCGGCAGCCCTCGCTGCCCCCCCCCCCCCTCCAGTCATCGCCCCCCCATCACGCGGCCTCCCAGCTCCATGCCAGCTCCGCGGGCCGGTTCTCCGCTGCTCTCCGCTGCTCCCTGCTGCCCCATGCTGGCCTCTGCTGGCCTGCGCTGGTGCTCTCTGCTGCTGCTACTGCTGTGGCCGTGCTGTTCCCTGCTGCTCCCCTGCTCTGCATCTGCTGTGTGCCGGCGATCTGCTGCTCTCTGCGGGTCTCTGCTGGCCCGCGCTACTACTGCTGTCTGCTGCACTCTGCTGGTGTCCGCTGCTCCCTGCTGTACCAACTCCATACGTATCGTACCGCCTCTCTGCTGCTCTGCTGCTCTCTGCTGGCCTACTCTGCTGGCGCCTTCTGCTCCGTGCTGTCCCTCTGCTGCTACCTGCTCAATGCCAGCTCTGTGCCGGGTCTCTGCTGATCTCTGATGCTCTCTGCTGGCCCACTCTGCTGCTGTCTACTGCTCTTTGCTGTTTCAGCTGATGCCTGCAAGTCCCCGCTCCACGCCAACTCTATGCCGTTTCTGCTGGTCTCTGTTGTTAGTTGCTGTTCTCTGCTAGCCTATGCTGGTCTCTGCTGGACCGCAATGCTAGCACACGCTGCTCTCTGCCGTTCTGTGTTGCTTCTGCTTCTCCATACTAGACCCTGCTCTACACCAACTCTGTGCCGGTTTTCTGTTCTCTGCTGCTCTCTGCTGATGTCTGCCTGTTTCTGCTGCTCTCTGCTGGCCCTCTCTGCTGATACCTGCTGCTATGCGCTGTTTGTGCTGTTCCCTGCAAATCCCTGCTCTGTGCCAGCGTTACGCCTGTTCTCTGCTGCTCTCTGCTGCTCTCTGCTGTGCTCAGCTGGTCTCTGCTGCCCCGCTCTGCTGCTCTCTGCTGCGCTGTGGTCTCTGATGCTCGCTGCGAGTGTAGTACTCCAGGGCGGCTCCTCCTTGGGGGGCCCAAGTGCGATGCCTGCTATATCGTGATCATCATGAGGCTCTCCAGTCACAATGAGACGGAGCTGCAAAACAAACGTCTCGCTCGAGATTTCCCCGTAATCTGTAATCTGGGCGCGAACGGGCAAGTGCTACAACCCCCTTGCAGTGCCGAACAGCTACGCCTGCTCGATCGCGGAGATCATGAGGCTCTCAGAGGACAGGCTTCGGAGCTGCAGAACAAGGGCCTCGCTCGAGATTGCCTCACAATCTGGGCGCGAACGGGCACGTGTAATGCCCCCTGGCAGCTGCTCCCTGGGCTGCCCAAATGCTATCCATGCTTTGCCGTACTGATCACAAGGCTCGCAGAAGGCAAGCGTTAGAGCTGCAAAACAAACGCCTCACTCGAGACTTCCGCGCAATCTGGGCACGAACGGGAAAGCGGAACACCCCCCTGGGGGCTCCACCTTGCAGTGCCGAAAAGCTACGCCTGCAATATCGCAGGGATCCAGGAGTCGGAGCTAAAATCAAGCGCCTTGCTCGAGACTTCTCCTGGTACGACTGGGCAAGTGTACCAGCCCTTGACAGCTCCCCCTTATGTGCCCCCGTGCTATGCCTGGTATATCGCGATGGTGGGCATGGATTATTTGAGCATGAGAGAGTTTGGATATCGGTAGTCTTGATCTCAGTCTGACTGTTATTGAGCCTTAGTGTGAATACGTCTGAGTGGGAGTGAGTTTCAGTATGACAGGCATTGAGTATCAGTGGGCTTGAGTGCATGTATGTGTGTGCGAGTGAGTCTTGGAGTGAGCGAATCTGAGTTTAGTGACTCTGAGTGGAGTAAGGGAGGAAGGAGACGGCAGGATTGAGGAGGCGGAGGCGTCACTAATGACAAAACCACCATCCTGGTGTATGGGAAAACACACGCCGTCGGATGTCTGGGGTGGCGGTCTTGGAGGAAATTCGCCATGGAAAGCCCCTGGGGTAGGGGAGTATGGGCCACAGGCTGGGTTCGCTCTCTTTATGTTCGGGGGTTGCTGCAGGTGTCCCCAGCCCAAACTGTTCCCAGCTGCTCGCTGCACTTTGGCGCCTCTGGGGCCCCTCTGGGCCTCGCGATGGGGTGTTCAGGAGGCCACCTGGGCCTCACTGGAGACGCTGGGGCACTCTTGGGCCAAAACCACCTCTGGCAACACCCGACATGGGAGAAGCAGCACGCGGCATGAACATGATTTCTGGGAGGTCCGCAAGGATCTCTTGGATCGGCGCTACACCCACCACGCGCCCTCAGGCGCGCGGAGCGCGCCCAAGGGCGGCGCGGCGCCAGAGAGGCCCCACGCCGATCCGAGGAATCTGGGCGGACCTCGGAGAAATCATGCGCTCGCCTCGTTCGGTTGCTCGATTTTTCTCCGCGCCCCACGCCGTATACCTCCGCCTGGCGCGCCGGCACCTCAGGACACCTCGCTCGCGCCGCGCAGGCGCAGCGCGCGGGCCGCCCGCGCGTGCTTTGCCTGCCGCCAGAGGCCGATGCAGATTGGCATGGCGATGGGCAGGCAGAGTGGCAGATCCAGCGGGGCCCCTCCGCGGGGGCACCAGGCTGCCAGCGCCCACGACAGGCAGACCTCCTGCTGCCCTGACAGCCCCGTGCTGCGACGCAAAAGCGCAGCGGATGCTCTTGTTGGCCACTCTGGGCCTCTGGGGGGCCTGACGAGGCCCGTGGACCGTGAAGAAACGACAGAGGATGACAAGCCCTCCCCCAGGAAGGGGTCCAGACCTCTGGGGAGCCATGCTGCAACAAAAACGCCTGTGGTGATTTCGTTGCGCACAGACCTCTGGGGAGCATGTTGCAACAAAAACGCGGAGCACAGAAATCCCTGCGCACCCCTTGCAAAATCACCCCCGGGCCCTCTCCTGGAGCCTGCGCCCAACCAAGATGCGAGCTGCGCCCAGCCGTGACGACGATGGCCCCATGGAGACCCAAATTTGCAAAACCTGATCCTCTCCCTCCTCCCCCGTGAAAGGGTGGACAATTACCAATACCGCAACTCCCCAAACTTCTCCAGGAACGCTTTCTGACCAGGAATTCGAAACAAATTTACCCGTGGCGACGACGAGGGAAGGGTCAAGGTATCGATAGATCTTCCTCCTCTGACTATGGGCCCGCATAGCTCACGACACCATTCCCGCGACAGCTTGTTTCCCCCGAACAGTGTTTGCACTTAGGGGTCATTAGTTTGTTTTTCTTTGTTATGAAGAGCTGGGCTTGACCGCTGGTGTGGCGGCTATGTTGTCGCCGTCGCCCCGTCGCCGCCTCGTCGCACCCCGTCGTCTGGGCCTGACCGCTGGTCTGGCGGCTATGTTGTTGCCGTCGCCGCCCCCTCGCCGTACGCCGTCTGGGCTTGACCGCCGATAAAGCGGCTATGTTGTCGCCGTCTCCGCCCTGCTGCCGCCTCGTTGCCGCCCGTCGTCCGGGCCTGACCGCTGGTCTGACGGCGATGCTGTCGCCGTCGCCGCCCCCTCGCCGTACGCCGTCTGGGCTTGACCGCCGATAAAGCGGCTATGTTGTCGCCGTCGCCGCCCCGTCGCTGCCGAATCGCATAACTTCCAACTCCCCCCTTCCAAGAGAAATGATATCCCCCCATTGCGTTGCAGGTCGCCCCCTGGGGCGTGAAATGTACAAATGCTTGCGCCCCACTGTTCGTTCCAAATCTGAACTCCTAGCATCCGAACCAAACCGTGTTCCCCCCCAAACCGCCGTCGCCAACTAAAACAATGCGCGCGCACTCGTTTGTCAACAAACAGCAACTCCCAGAAACGTTTACAACACATCCGACGACGTCCACACCCGCGCGCGTACTCGCGCGCGCAAGCCGAATTCCTTCGTAACCACGGGTTCCTTCAAAACAAAGCGACATGGTCTTGAAATGTGCGTTGTTCAACAACATCTGCGCGCGCACGTTTGCAAAGTCCTACCACAAGCATCGATTGTCCAGCACGTTCATCCAATGCGAACAGGCGGGCCTCTCGCACGCGCAACTTGGAATCATCACGACGCCCCCTGCGCGCGTGCTGGGGGGGGACGACCCCGATCCAATAAATACCATGCGGTGCCCTCGCCCGCGTCGGCCGCGCGCGTATGTCGAAATCTCTGCGAGATCCTGGCCGCCGACGCATGGACACCATCGTCGTCACCGACGTGATCAGCATCGGCGCCGTCATTGGCCTTGCCGCCGCAATCGTCACTTGTTGTTACCAACATCGCTACTACCATCATCTCGTAAGCCATTGTCGACGTCGCCATGATACCGCGCTCTGGGGAATCCCCAGCGGTGAGCGCCACCGCGGCCGCGCCGGTCGCGCCAGACTAGCTGGCCACTCGCACGCGGCGCGGCAGTCGAACTCAGAATTGGTTCGAATCACCCCAGCCAAACAGGCAACGGTTCCCCCCTCATCTTCTGTCAGAGAATTACCGTGCGCGCGCATTTGTTGATCAAGTATCACAAGTTCCCAAGCATCCATGGCAACAAAGGGGCACGCGCGCGTCGTCGCGGGCGCAAATCGAATGACTCTGAACAGGCCATAGGTTCCGTGAGGATTTCAAAATCGAGTGTCCCGAAAACATATAAGACACACACACACACGATTTCGCAACACGAATTCCCAAAACAAAGAACACAGTTTGCGTTCGTTCTCTCGCGAATCCTTGAGAAAACCATAGCGTCTGCAACAGTGTCATAACATGCTGCATGTCGAAATCGTTCGAACGCTCCTGCGCGCGCGTGCTGTCGCAAGAACCCCTTGCAAACACTTAGAGACGAGATGCACGCGCGCGCGCGTCGTCACACGCGCGTGCCGAAATCCTTTGAAAACCCTTGGCTTCGAAGTTTCGCGAACAATGCGATCGCATCGTGGCGTGGGGCACAGCCCGTTAGATACACGGCGTACTTGAACTCCCACGAAAAGTACATGGCGGCCACAACGGTGTCGTCGTGGGAGATCGCGAGGGCCAGCGCGAGTGCCCTGCGGGCAGCCGCGAGGGCTCCTGGCCCGAGGGGCGGCCAGGGGCCGAGAGGGGCGGTGCTGCTCCCACGTCTGACTTCCAACTCCTCCTCCTCCTCCTCCTCCTCCTCCTCCTCCTCCTCCTCCTCCTCCTCCTCATCTCCCCCCCTCCACCTCCCCCTCCCCCTCCCCCTCGCCCTCGCCCTCGCCCTCGCCCTCGCCCTCGCTCGCCCTCGCCCTCGCCCTCCTCCTCCTCCCTCCCCCTCCCCTCCTCCTCCCTCCTCCCTCTCCCCCCTCCTCCCTCCTCCCTCCTCCCTCCCCCTCTTTCCCTCCTCCTCCCCTCCCCCTCCCCCCCCCTCCCCCTCCCCCTCCCCTTCCTCCTCCTCCTCCTCCTCCTCTCCTCCTCCTCCTCCACCTTCTCCTCCTCCTCCTCCTCCTCCTCCTCCTCCTCCTCCTCCTCCTCCTCCTCCTCCTCCTCCTCCTCCTCCCCCTCCCCCTCCTCCTCTCCTCCTCTCCTCCTCCACCTTCTCCTCCTCCTCCCTCCTCCTCCTCCTCCTCCTCCTCCTCCTCCTCCCTCTCCTCCTTCCTCTCCTCCGCCTTCCTCCTCCTCCCTCTCCTCCTCCCTCTCCTCCTCCCTCTCCTCCTCCCTCTCCTCCTCCTCCTTCTCCTCCTCCTCCTCCTCCTCCTTCTCCTCCTCCTCCTTCTCCTCATCATCATCCTCCTCTTCGTATTATTATTACTAATATTATTGCTATTAAAATTAATAGCTGTAGTATTAGTATTATTATTACCATTAGTATTAGTAGTTTTGTTAGTGTTAATGTTATTGGTATTATTATTCGTAGTATTAGTATTAATATTGCTATTATTAATATATTATTATTGTTACTACTATGGTCGTATTATTATTATTATTATTATTATTCGTATTATCAGTATTATTATTATTATTATTATTAGTATTATAAGTATTATTAGTATGTGTATTATTAACAGTAGTAATACTATTATCATTTTTATTATTAGTATTACTACTATTGTTATTATTAGTAGTGTTATTATAATTCATACGAGTGTTATTAGTATTATTAGTAGTATTAGTATTATTAGTATTCAGAGAATATTTGGTATTATTAGTATTAGTATTAGCATTCGTAATAGTATTCGTATTCGTCGTCTTCTCATCCGCCTCCTCCTCCTGTTGTTTCCTCTTCCTCCTCGTCCTGCTTCGTTTTCATCCTCCTCCTCCTCTTCATCCTCCTCCTCCTCCCTCCTCCTCCTCCTCCTCCTCCTCCTCCTCCTCCTCCTCCTCCTCCTCCCCCTCCCCCTCCTCCTCCTCCGCATCCGCCTCCGCCTCCGCCTCCTCCTCCTCCTCCTCATCCGCCTCCCTCCTCCTCCTCCTCCTCCTCTCCTCCTCCTCCTCCTCCGCCTCCTCCTCCTCCCCTCCTCCTCCTCCTCCTCCTCCTCCTCCTCCTCTCCTCATCCTCCTCCTCCTCCTCCTCCTCCTCCCCTCCTCCTCCTCCTCCTCACCTCCTCCTCCTCCTCCTCCTCCTCCTCCTCCCTCTTTCCTCCTCCTCCTCCTCCGCCTCCTCCTCCTCACCTCCGCTCCTCCTCCTCCGCCGCCTCCGCCGCCTCCGCCCTCCGCCGCCTCCTCCGCCTCCACATCCGCCACCGCCGCCTCCGCCTCCGCCTCCGCCCTCCGCCTCCGCCTCGCGCCTCCCCGCCTCCTCCTCTCGCCTCCTCTCCTCTCTTCCTCCTCCTCCTCCTCCGCCTACGCCTCCGCCTCTGCGGCCTCCGCCTCCGCCTCCGCCTCCGCCTCCGCTCCTCCTCTCCTCCTCCTCCTCCTCCCCTCCTCCTCCTCCTCCTCCTCCTCCTCCTCCTCCTCCTCTTCCTCCTCCTCCTCCTCCTCCTCCTCCCCCCCCTCCCCCCCCCTCCTCATCCTCCTCCCCCTCATCCCCCGCCCCCCCTCCTCCTCCTCCTCCACCTCCTCCTCTCCTCCTCCTCCTCCTCCCTCGTCCTCCTCTCCTCCTCCTCCTTCTCCTCCTTCTCCTCCTCCTCCTCCCCTCCTCCCCCCCCTCCTCCTCCCTCCTCCTCCCTCCTCCTCCTCCTCCTCTCCTCCTCCTCCTCCTCCTCCTCCTCCTCCTCCTCCTCCTCCTCCTCTTCCTCCTCCTCCTCCTCCTCCTCCTCCTCCTACGCGCGTCGGCCTGTAGGAACTCGTGCGGAGGGGACTTGGGCCGCCCCAAAGTGCGCTCGGGGCACTGCCGCCTGGCGCACGGCGGGGGGGAGGCGTTACATAATCACCCCTGTAATGCCTATTATCGCCGAAAGTAAAGCAACGCGCTCCATTCGCCACATGGGCCATCGACTACCGAACAAGCGGCACGCGTGCCCTGGCTCTTGCACGAAAGAGCCGCGAGGGGCGGGAGGCGTGCGCCATTATTCCTCCAGGAGTTTCCTTCTGCGGCCGGGGGGGGAAGGGGGAGGACGAACGAGGAACGAACGAATGGCGACGACGAACAAAAAAAGGGTCCGAGCTATAGAACATAGATGTGCAAGAAAATAATGCTATAAATAACAAAAGCTCGGAGGTCCGCGCTGATTTCTTGGATAATCGCTGGAACCCATGCCTGGCGCGCGAAGGCGCGCCAAGGGCGGCGCCAACGCCGCGGGGGGGGGGGGGGGGGCAGCGCCGTTCCGAGACATCCGCGCGGACCTCCGAAAACTGAGCTTGATGTTGTCATGCCTTCCCTTCCGCCCGAAAAGTGTGTATACTATGCCTAACAGTCTTGGGGGTTGGGCGAGGGTCCTGGTCGTGGATTTGGTACACAATTATCCCGGCAAAGCAACCTAACAGCGATGTGTAGAAGCATATCTGAAAGCATTCCCCTTAAGATTCAGATGAAAATCCAGTTGTCGAATTCTGCTGTTCTCGCAGTCGTAGTCGCATTCGCGATGACAGTCGCAGCAGCAACGGCAGTCGCAGTCACAGCCTCAGCCTCAGCCTGCCTCAGCCTCAGCCTCAGCCTGCCTCAGCCTCAGCCTGCCTCCTCAGCCTCAGCCTCAGCCTGCTTCAGCCTCAGCCTCAGTCTGCCTTCAGCCTCGGCCTCAGCCTCAGCCTGCCTCAGCCTCAGCCTGCATCAGCCTCAGCCTCAGCCTCAGCCTGCCTCAGCATCAGCCTGCTTCAGCCTCAGCCTCAGCCTGCCTCAGCCTCAGCCTCAGCTGCTTCAGCCTCAGCCTCAGTCTGCCTTCAGCCTCGGCCTCAGCCTCAGCCTGCCTCAGCCTCAGCCTGCCTCGGCCGCAGCATCAGCCTGCCTCAGCATTCAAAATGTGGCCCAGGAATGGAGTTCTGGGAACTAGAAGAACACGAAGTGGCCTACAGTTGGCTCCGGGCATTCAAAATCATGCCCAGGAATGGAGTTCTGGGAACTTGAAGAGCACGAAGTGGCCTACAGTTGGCTCCGGGCATCCAAAATGTGGCCCGGGAATGGAGCTCTGGGAAATCGAAGAGCACGAAGTGGCCTACAGTTGGCTCCGGGCATCCAAAATGTGGCCCGGGAATGGAGTTCTGGGAAGTCGAAGAGCACGAAGTGGCCTACAGTTGGCTCCGGGCATCCAAAATGTGGCCCGGGAATGGAGTTCTGGGAAATCGAAGAGCACGAAGTGGCCTGTCCGGGTCCCGCCCAGACCCCCCTGAGGAGTCATGATGCTCTCTTTTGAGACCACTAGAAACCTATCAGCAAGAGCTGTTAGGTAAAATTCCCTCCCTGGGGCGTGGCCTTTGTGTACTGAACGTGGCCCCGTGGGGTGGAATACGACTGGGGTGGGGAGGGTGTGGTATACCAATACAATCAAGGATCCCCGACGGCCACTCCCGCCCCCCTGTTGCATGCCCCCAGAGGTCGCGCCCTCGGGGGCGCGCAAACATTGCTTAGCCATCCATGGATTTAGCGCGCGATCGCCAAATCCATGGATCGGGGGAGGTGCCCTCCCCACGATGCGGCCAGTACCGCCCCGTTCGCCGGCGGAAATCCTCGATTCTCCATGGAAGCGCGACCCGTCGCTGGTCCACGCCCCCCTGACCAATGCTTGCGATCGCCTGACTGTTGCTTGCCTTAGGTCGGGCCTGTCTCCCTAAGGGGGATTGCGGGCGAAACATAACAAAAACCAAAACAGATTCCAAACATGCCCAACAATAGTCAAAACATCGTCCTCGGACTATAGAGGGACAGGCCCGACCGAATGCTTGCCCCCAGAGGTCGCTCCAGCACCCCCCCGCCACGGGGCGGTCCTGCCAGGTCCCCCGAGGCCGCCTCCGACACCGCGCGGCGCGCGCCCGCGGCCGCCTGGCCCGGCGAGGACGAGGGGGGGGGCGGCCCACGGCGGCGAGGGCGACGGCGACGACGGCGAGGACGACGGCGGGGGCGACGGAGGGGTAGGCAACAACTACGGGGAGGTCTTCGTCGGGCGGCCGGCAAAGGATTGATCCCTACTGGGAGGCTGCTGCGCCAGATCGGGCCGCGGAGTGAGCGGAACTGAGCGGGCTGAAACCCGATGTAAAGGGACTCGGCCGATTGAAACCGGATGACGGACCAAGGCAAAGTCAGAACTTGACCTCCCAGGAGTTGCACTCGAAGAGGAGGGCGATGGCGACGGCGAGGATGGCAAGGAGGAACAGGAGGACGACGACGAGGTCGAAGGCGACGAAGGCGACGACGGCGACGGGGGCGAGTGCAAGGAAGAGACTGGGTAGCCGCAGGAGGAGGCAGAAGGGGAGGCAGATGGGGGAGAGGGTGACAAAAACAGGAGAAGGGTGATTGGGGTAAGCGAGGGTGGGAGGGGCACGCAAGACTTGGAACGGGAAGGGGCGTGGGAGGGATGAAGACACAGGCGTGAGCAAAATGGGATGCTGACGGAGGAAGAGGAAAACAAAAAGGGGAATGGGGTAGGGAGGGAGGCAAGGGGATGATGGAGGGCTAAGGGGGAGTGGGGACTGGCGAGGGAGGGGGGAAGAAAGCGCGGAGGCGCGGCATCAGCCAACCGACCCGCTGGGCGACGGTTGAGCTTTAGACACCTTTGCCTCGCGCTCTTCCCCAGCAGCAAGAAAAGTCTTGGGAAACCCAACGCAACCAGGATACTTACCTTGCGCGACCCGGACCGAGTTCCCGCGATCCTTCTTGGACGGGTGAGTACGGTCAGCAGCAAGCTGGCGCCTGCCAGCCGTAGCTGTACGACCGCAGTGGTGGCAGACATGCATGTTGAAACGATCCCAGGAGCCCAGGCGATGAAACTTGGTGAGGGCGAGACCAAACAAAGACTCATTGGGACACAGAACCGAAACGACGACGTCCATATGCCACCTTTGGGCCGCGTCGGAGACGCAAGCTGAAGCGCAAGCGTCTAGAAGTGTGCCTCGGGTTGAGAGGCCGCCGCACCTGGAACATCTGCAGCGCTGGCCACGCTTGGAAATGCACTGTGCGCTGGCACGGGCCGCTCGATCCATCAGGGTTCCCAAGCGAGCTTCCCCGTCGGGCATGTTCCCCGACATGGGGATTTTGGACAACAAATAACAACTAGTCAAAACAGTGTCCCCATATGTTCAAACGTACCAAAAACCGTCCAATACTATATTTGACATATTTTTGAAGATTCGCCCTGAAGAGGAGGGACATACCCGACTTAAACCCAAGACCCCGTTGCGCTCTGCAGCCTCGCCAGCTGCCGCGTCAGCCGCGGCGAGGAGCCTTTCCTGGTCATCAAAGCTGGGATTGTTAGAATCATCATGACAGGGCAGCCCAGACAGCTGAGACTTCACCTTCACCTCGGCTCTCAAGAGCCCTCCCACTGCGCATCCGAAGACCCCGAATTCCGCCCGTCACTGACCCGACCCCCCCTCCCCCAGCTCCCGACCGGCATGCACAGGTTTGAGATGTGTAACGAAACAGATGGGACGATGGGAGGCTGCGAGGGTCAACGCAAAGGCAGTGGGTTCTGATCCAGGCGCTGTCTGAATGCAGCCAGCCAGGCCCGCTGTGGCCCTCCGAAAACCTCAAAACCTGGCAACCCTGGTGGATGACTACAGCGCCAACGCCGCACCTTCGGCGGCGAGGGTTGGAAAAGAAACGTCCCCCCCCCGACCCCCGACCCACCGCTCCACCCCAAAAACAGTAACCACGCCAGTCACACAGCACCCCTCGAGAGGCACCATTGTCGCCAGATCAAACAAAGCAGGGTGAGTGAGCCCCGAAGGCGCGGGGGCAAGGAGGACGTGACGAGGGTAACGGGGTGAATCGGTACAGACAAGAAGCATGATGAGAAAGGAAGTTGTTTGTCTGCCTGCTTCATTCGGCTGCGCCCTGGAATCCAAGTCAACACTGAATGGTTGAGGGTGAAAAATAACGGGCCCGGAGTTTAGAATGTGATGGGCGGTTGCACGGAGGAGGGGAGGGAAGACGCTGCACAGCCCAACACCAAGGCAAAGCTGGAGGACCCCCTGCACGCAGAGACCATGGCCGGGAGTGCGCCCTTCATCCGAAGAAGTCCCCTTCCGCCACCAATCGTTGAACAAGACGCCTTTCCGCGTCCTCGGCGCGCAGCGTTTCCACAATGCGCCGCAGGGAACGTGAGGGTCTGCCACTGGCAGCACAAATTCTGGGCCACCTGTCCCAGCGGTGTGCTGTTCAATGTCCACCTCGTCCGACCGACTGGAAATAGGCACGCCCACACTCCCAAGGGCCCCAAGGGAGGTGGACGCCTGTGGCGTGCCCGAACTGTCGAGCTCCACCAGAGGCTGCCAGACTCCATTCCAGGAACGTGACTTCTGCTGGGGTTGCACGCCTTTTGCGCACTCGCTGCAAGGCCTGCAGCTGTGGTGGGGAAGCCTTGTGGGGGCCCTCAAGGGCTGCAGCACAACCATCTGGGAGGTTGACTGGTCTCTGCTTGGCCCACGCACCGCGCAGGCGACCAACAAAAACAGACTCACCCTTGAACCACAGGCAGCGAGCTGCTACCCTTCAATGAAGGCAAGGTGGTTTACTAGCACCGGCGGCTGCTCCATGCCTGCCTGCTCCCAGAGGGAGGCATCAATGGGCCCCACGACCTCCACGCAACGCAGGGGCGGCCACCAGGAGGCAGGACGGGCCTCCTCGGAGCCAGGGCGGGGCAGGCCGGCAAGGAGCGGTACCGACAACCCTTGGTCCTCTCTCTGGCACGGAGTCCACGCTCCGCGCATTGTGAAAAACCTGGCTCAGAAAAGGCTGACCGGCTGACCTTCTGCTGAGATCTTCCCAACCAAAACAACCCTTCTGTGTGTGAGCACCGTGAGTCGCGGTACCTGGACCTTGGGAACAACTCTGGATCTACCCGTCGGCCTGCTCGCGATTTCGATGGCGAGAGTGGCAGTGCGCATGAGCACTTGCATGTATGAGCTCCAAAACTAGCAGTGACTGACACTGGACAACTGGAATCTGGTATCTGCTGGCTCGTAAGCTGCTCTGGGGGCTGAAGGCTGGCAATGCAACACACACACACACACACGTGACTCCACGTGACCAAGACGGCTCCCCCTCGTCGTCCTCTTCTAGCCTGGCAAGGGCAGAACTGACAGCCACTCTGCGAAGCAATGGGTGCTTGGAATAAGCGTCTCCTGCCCAGTCTGAGCCATGGACCTCTCCAGGGAAGAGGGGACGTGGGCTCACAATCCTGATGTGAGGTCAGGCCAGTCAAGAGATGAACATTCTGCCAGAACTTCGTGTCATCAATGCTCCGTGCTGGAATCTTGGATTGGCATTCTCCTCCTTACACAGGCACTCCTGGATTCCGTGCGCGGGGGCCTCTTCTAGACGCAGGCAGCGCTGACAGAGAGGGTTGGACACCAGCCCACAAGCGTACTGGCGCTCCTCTGGCCACGTGATGAGGAAGGACGACGACGAGATGGGGCGGAGGAAGAACTCGCCATCGCTCGGACCGACCACTCCCCGTGCATGTTTTGATTTCGCGCGTGTACGTTTCGTGAGATGATTACATGCGCTCCTCCATGGCGATCGCTGGAAACACGCACACGTCCGAGCGATGCCAAGCAGTGCAGAATCCTGCGTGCGGGCGGGGCGCGTCGTCGCCGAACGGTGTAGAGTGGTGTCAGGGCCCCCTGACCAGAACTCTGCAAACCAGGACTTAAACACAGTGGATGCCAGTCCACAAGAAACTTTTTACAAGGAATCTAATTCTGAGACCCCAGGACGTCCATTTGGCTCAAGCTCGGGGGAGGGTCACATATCCCCTTACATTACATCCTTTGCGCTGTACCCATTGCTCTGTGTCTCGATTTCCCTTCCGGTGTTCTCTTGACTGGTGACATGAAGCGTTACGACATTGGCACTCCTCTCGGTGGTGAGCGGAAGCAGACCCGCACCGAATCCCCCCTGCAGCAAATGGACGGCTTGGACGACGACGATCGTCCGGCGGCTGCCTCAGGCGAGGTGGAGGCGACCATGATGCACATGATGCAGGCAATGATGAAGGACATGAAAGACCTCAGGAAGGAGGTGCGGGGCATGGCTCGCGAGAGCAGGGAGGCCCTGAATGAGGCGAAGCAGGCGAAGGAGATGGCCACGTCCGCGAAGCAGGCCGCACTGGAGACGAACTTGACCGTCAGCAGCGTGGAAGACAAGGTCAACAAGCTCCAGGAGACGTCCATCACCAAAGATGACGTGGCGAAGATGATCGAGGAGACTTTGTCGCAGTGCACGACTCCGAGAAACGTAGCTTCAACGTCCAATCCATCATCTGCCGTTGCTGTCATTGGGAACGTGCCCAACGCGACGACCTTTGATGAGGCAGCTAAGTGGGCTATTACCTTATGTACTGATTTCAATGTCCCGGCTCCCACGCCCAGCAACATGTTCTGCAAGAGTGAGTTCAAGGGCGTGTTTTTCATCAAATTCGGGTCCGACTCAGAGCGCCAGGTGTTCCTCGATACGGTCGACACTTTCGCGAAGAGGCAGCCCGGGAGTTTAGGAAGCACCGTCTGGGCCAAGCCGGACTTCCCCATCGACATCCGCACGCGGCACGGGGTCCTCTTCGGGTTGCGCCGGATGCTGGCGAAGTGGGGGTTTAACAAGGCGTGCATCAAGGTCAACACGGACGATTTCTCATTGACGGTTGCAGGGGCGGTGGTGGCCAAGACGGTGGTGAAGGATTTCCGTCTCGAGCTGAAGTGGGTCGACCGGGAATGGGGGAAGTGGGATGCATTGCAGTCGTCAGGTGAGCTCTCCGAGATCACCACGGCGGCCCAGGCGAAGCTCGAGAGGGCGAAATCATTCAGCGAGAGTAAGGGCAAGGGGAAGGG